AAAGCCTATACCCAGAATTAAACTTTGTTGGTCTTAAAGGTGCCACTGGACTCCAACTTTTCCCCCCAGCTTGGATTTCTTTAGAGCCAATGCCAGCGCAAGGAGCATGGCATATGTTGCACAAGCCCAATGGACCAGGGGAAGAACATGCTCCTCCTGACATTAGCTACACGCCACTAACTTGTACAGGTTTTGTACTTATTAAATGGGTACAGTTGAAGATTCTTGACCTGGACAACCTACAATTTACAAGATTTAGAAACTGCCCATATTTCCATAAGGTATAAATACCCGGACTTCAGTGGAAAATAATGGACACGGAGTTCAGAATCAGGCTGGTTTAAAGACGGGCTGTCTGAAGCTATGGATCTAGGCCATTTTTAATCCTTCCCTTTCTCCAAGGAGCTCAGGAAACTATACATGGGGTCTCCATTCACAACAACCCTGAGAGGTAGGTTAGTCCAAGAGTGAGCAACTGGCCCAAAGTTATCCGGGACGCTTGATGGCTGAGTGAGGATCTGAACCCAAGTCTCCTCGCTGGACACTACACCACACTGGCACAGCCACCCACAGAAAGACATGGATCCTGTCAGGCCTCTTTTCCTGAGCAGTGAGGAACAGGTACCTGAACAGTAGTATGTTCACTCTTCAAACTTCTTGGGGAATAACGGAAGAGTGCAGTAGGCCAGCTCACAAAAGCGCTAGCAACCAGGACTGCTTATTGGGGCTGTTGCTGTCCAACATGTGACAGTTCCCCAAAAAAAACATGTCCAGTATGGTACAGTCATCGCTGAAAAGAACAATCTGCTATTGCTTCCTTATTCAATGCATGGAAATGAAATAATTCTTCTTCACAAAATGATAGGGGACAAACCAAAGAATTAGGGTTCATCTGAAAGCCATTGCCATTTGGGGAAGGGGGAATGTGTGTGAACAAACCTTAAAAATGTTGGAATTTCTGAAATACACTTTACTTGGGTTTGGAGATACAGAGTGTTTCAGCCTGGGCTGGAAGTCCATTGCTACAAAATTCTGTATGACATTTAGGGTTGTCAGGTCCCCCTTGCCTATCGGCATTGACATTTCAGATATAAAAAGTATATTTTTTCACAACTCAGGAGACTGCATGCATGGGGTAGGATCAGGGAAGGCAGACCTTCTCACAAATTGGTGCCAGGCTGGAAGAAGCCACATGTGGGCTCTCAGCAGATGAGCCAATTCAGCTTGCAGTGAGGAAGGGTCATGCCACGCCTTATCTGGAAATAAACATTCAAATGCTTACCAACAATCACCCCTCCGATGAAAAGGCTTGTGATGACCCGGAGAAGCCAGAAAAGCCTCTGTCAACAAAGGAGAACCAAAAGTCAGTGGGCGAATCTGCATTAGCATTTTAAAATCATTTTCGTGCCGCTCTGACGCCGTCCTTCTCTATGCTTGTTTGAATGCTGTTTGGAGAAGATTCTTTTAAAGCAGTGCAGAGGTGCAATGACAGTGGAGCTGCCCCGAAAGGACGATAAACATATGTGGACATGCAAAAGTATGCTAGCACTCTTGAGGTGTGGAAATGACACCAAATGTAGACAGCTTTTTTGAAGATGGAGTCACAAGGCTGGGACATTGGTGGGAAAGACAAATGCAGATTCAGCCTTAGACCTGGGAGTTTCTCCCTGACCCCTCTTTCTCTCTCCGTGCCCTCTTTCCTCTATCACTGTCCACATGGCTCTGTGTGGAGTCAGGCACATCTAGGGCCCTGGTCTCTTCTCACACATCCACTGCCCCTTCAAATAGTGTTATGTAGAGGCCCATTCAGCATGTCCAGTAGCGGGATGGCTGGTGTCATGCAGATGCCTCCCTAGCTGGAAAAGGCAGCCATTTAAAATGGCTGCCCAGTGACAATTATTTGTGGGTAGCTTCCCAGAGAACAGACACAGCAGAGGTGCCAGGCTTCTGTACGGAAAACAGCTCTCATTTCTGAACTGCACAATATTTTTACATAATATCTTTACTCAAGTCCTCAAGGAGAGTATGAAGGTTACCTCAGCAGGCTTGCCTTTATTGCCTCCTGTGAGGCCTCTCCTCACCACAGAGAAGAAACTACTTCCTAATTTACAGGGACAGAACAAACACGTAACATGTCATTTCCATCATTATTTTCCCTGGCAATTTAGTTTTTTTTTAACAGAACACAGCTGCCAGTGCTGAGATTGTTGAAGAGGTTAAGACTGGCAGAGAAGAAATGCTTCCTCTTTTCCCTCAGGCTTTTTCCCGCCAAAAAAACCGCTTCAAGAAATGTCTTTACTCTTCCCCTCACCTCGCCTGTGGAGACTCAACTAATATCCTGCCCTGAATTGTGACAATGGTGGCAACAGATAGCAAGCCAGGGTATCTGGGTGTTGGGGACGCCAACCTCCCAGATGGATCTGGAGATCTCCTGCCTGGAATTTCAATTGATCTCCAGACTACAGTGGTCTGTTCCCCTGGAGAAAATGGTGGCTTTGGAGGGCAGACTCTATGGCACTGTACCATATTGAGGTCCCTCCCTAGGCTCCACCCCCAAATCTCCAGGAATTCCCCAATCTGGACCTGGCAACCCTAGTCAGTGCTCATATAGTGTGCAAAACCACAGTTGAGAGTGACTGTGGTCAATAAATCAGCTTCAAAACCAGATCCTGGCGGGATGGACCCTAACTCCCCAAAGTTACTGGATTGCATTCAGACAACCACTCTAGTCACAGTTAATCTAAACCACAGTTTCCTGCCATGTCTGAACCGAGCCAATTCCGCAAAGAAATCGCAGCCAGTTTTCATTAGCCCATGTGACATCTGGTTACTTTCCCTGACGTGCGCTGAAGCCCACTGGGTTCAGTACCCCTCGACCACAAGCTTCCCAGTGGTGTGGTTCTGGTCAGCCATGCTTGAGTCCATGGCTGCATTTCAGTAAATCTATATGGATTAATTAACTGCTACTGACACGAGGATTAAGGTTCACAGAAGAAGAAAAACAAATCTCAGTTAGAATCAAAGCCTAGTTCAAATAAAAAGAAACCGTCCGGCTGCTACAAGGAAAGATCTGTTTCAGTCACGACCGAATGCCCCATTACACTGTTTTCATACACTCAAGTATTTCCTTTCTAGGCAAACAAACCAGGATATGAAATCCCGCCAATTAGTTACTGTCTGTTTACTCTTGGCTACACCATTAAGATATATCCTGATGACAGTTACCCTGAAAGTCTGAGTACTTTGTGTACGCCCCATCCAAAGAGCAAAGAGAATATCAGGAGCCATTAAAAAAGAGATTTTAAGGGGGAAGGATAAAGGACGTCATCGGTACTATTAGGATAAAGTCATAAGGCTTTTCCCTCCTGTTTTGGGGATTGTTCCAGTAATGGAGGAACTGAGCATCGGCGTTTGAAGATCTACTTTGCATTTAAGAGGTCCCCATTAAAGATTTTTGGCCGTCTTCATTTTAAAGGATCTCAGTTAGCAGGTACGAAAGGCCGTTCCCTGCTTGGAAAACCGTTCTAAGTAGACAACAATGAATTATCTGGACCGTATAAGGCAGCATTGTGTACGTTCAGTTTAAGGAGCAACTGCCTCGCACTCATTCCTACCTCAATGCTAAAAGCCTATGTTTTTCTGTGGTTGATTTTGATGATAGTGCATATGTGCAAACAAACTTCATTTACCAGAAGGTTTTGTGGGATCGCATGGGGCGGTGCCACACACCACCATTTGCGTACACATGTTGAGAAAACCCACCATTTAAAGAAATTGCATCCAATTAACCAATGAATAAAAGCAATCGGTGAAAGTGAAGCCAACGGTCGGAGAAAAGATATTATCACATGTGAGTTCTAGCTCACAGTTTTTTAGCCTCCGGCTCACACATTTTTGTCTTAGCTCAGGAAGGATGGCTCCAGAGCAAACTAATTTATGCAGTAGCCAAATCACTTGCTCACAGCTTTAATGCCAGGAGCTCACAAAGTAGAATTTTTGCTCTCAAGGTTCCACAGCTTAGAGGGAGCATTGGTCATGGCTCTCTCCACTGGCGCATGATTATGGGTAGTGAAAGAGGAACAAAAGAAGGTTGCCAGAGGTGCCCGTATGAAAAGAAGAGCCCAGCCATACTTTTACATGTCATAAGTTTGTCGAACGATGCAAAATGTGGCAACCAAAATTTTCACATTTGGCACCTGCACACCACAACAACCGTGCTTCACCCATTTCAGGGGGGGGGAGATTATTTTAATCTTCTGTGTGTAGTTCAGGGCATTTTTCCAGCTGTGCAACCATTGGGGACTTATAGGACAATACTAACGGGCTGATTCAAACATGCACAAACATTCCTCATTGGCTAATCACTTGGTGTGCAGCGTAATACATAAACTGCTTCCTTTGAATACAATTGCAAGTGATACAAAACTGGTTCCCCCCCAAAAATGAAAAGCCAATTTGGAAGGCTGCAATTTTGAGCAAGTGGGAGGGAAGGCAAGTACGGTATAGCCCGATCTCGTCAGATCTCAGAAGCTAAGCAGCGTTGGTACTTGGAAGGGCGACCACCAAGGAAGGCTCTGCAGAGGAACGCAGCAGCAGTCTACCTTTGCTTCTCACTTGCCTTGAAAGCCCCTTGCTGGGATCGCCAGAACTCATCTGCACCTTGACGGAACTTTACACGCACACAATTTTGAGTGAAGAACTGCTCATCTGCACCTTGACGGAACTTTACACACACACAATTTTGAGTGAAGCTTAGGGGGAAGAGCTTATCCTTTCCCTCCAAGTACCTTTTCTGCTTAATATCACCTGCAAGCTCTTTTCTCCCCACCACCAATCGGGTTTTACATATAAATACAATTAACCAATATCTTTTTTGAAAGAAGCAAAGAGAAAGCGTTGGTTTTTGACCAGGGACTCCCTTCACCCTCCCTAAGCCTTTAACTCAACATCACAGCCTCCTAAAAATACTTCTCATTTCATATAACGTTGTGGTTTTTGTTACACACATTAGCACTTATGAGCATTAGTGTGTAGCAGTGCATAGTGTACCCCTTTGAGCATGAAGAGGCCGGCCATACTTACCGCTCTGCCCCGAATTCCAGGCAAGATAAGCAGAAAGCTGAAGGCGATGACCAAAAAGACAATGATTACGATGATAAGATCGACATCGAACACAACTGGTTTCCTCTGCTGGGGGTAAAAAGGATAGACGCCGTCGAAGAGTGTCATTCTGGAAGTGATTCCTGCAAAACAGAGATAGTACTGCTAGAATCCTGAGCGCCTCTTTGCCTTATTCCTACTCTTATGGCTGCTACATTCCCCTATTGCCAAACACAAAACTCTGATCCAGAGTCCCTCCCTCCTGTAACAGGATCGCAGGACGCAGTTCCAAAGCCATATGGAGAAAGGATGCCAGCATGGTGCTGTGGTTAGAAATCTGGGGCTAAGATCTGGGGGACCTAAGTTCCAATCCTGACTGTACCGTGGAAGCTTACTGGGTCAGTCAACAAGTAACCTACCTTACAGGGTCGTTGTGATTGTGAGGGTAAAACGGAGAAGGTGAGAATGTTACAAGCCCATTGGGGAGACAATCAAAGTAAACAAATTCTGGGCATGATATTTTTTGCTTTTGGGATAGTTTTGAGATCACACGGTCTACATCTTGCTGCCAAAAACAGCCTCCAGGAGGGCCGAGTGGTTATGGACGATGCCCTTAAAGGATATACTAAAGGCGCCAAGCAAGATTAACCAAGGAACAAGAAGATGAAAGGAGGGAGGAGAGAGAAGCAGAGAGAGGAAGGTTTGCCAGGTATCTCCGAAGTGGTTCTAGAGCTGCTGGAAGCAGGCCAAAAAGCCCATGAGGTTTAAGTGGCCGCACAATCTAATCTCAACCGTAGCAAGAGGGAACAGCAGCAGAACTGAGTGGTCATCTGGGCAAGCTGGGAAAAGAGGGGGCTGCAGGGCACTGTGTCAGGTACAGGGAAACCGGCCCTCCCAGACGGATGGATTCTGGAATCCAGCAGAGATTCCTGGGTGGCATTTCTAATGGCGGCCTCATCCAAATACCCCAGGGGGTGGAGAAGGCTGCCTGCTAGAGCCGGCAAGTGCTGCAGGAAGGAAAGGGCGGAGGAGAGCGGTGGCGTTTCAGCTGTGCTAAAACCTGTCCCTGTGCCCTGAGATTGTCAGATCTCAGAAGCTAAGCAGTACTTGGATGGGAGACTGCCAACGGAAGTCCACGGCCGCTACGCAGAGGCAGGCAGGGGCCAAAGCACCTCTGAACGTCTCTTGCCTTGGAAACCTTACTGGGGGCTTGCCGTAAGTGGGGTGTGACTTGATGGCAGTTTCCTCCACCACCAAAATCTGACCCCGGTCCAAACGAAAAGTCCAGGGGGGGGGGCTCACTTCTGTCCCCCAAGAGACCCCAGCCCATTTGAGGAGCAAGGAATGGGCTGAGAGCTGGCAAGTTCCACTTTTCCTACTGATGCAAGAGCTTGGAAGCAGAGCGCCAGACTGACAGACCAGGAGGCATGGTTGACTCTTCGAGGCTTGCCAACCTCCAGGCAGTGGCTGGAGATTATTTGCAAGTGATCTCCAGGCGACAGAGTTCAGTTCACCTGGAGAAAACGGCCACTTTGGCAGGTGGACTCCATGGCATTATAACCCACTGAAGTCCCTCCCCTCCCCAAACCCCACCCTCCTTAGGCTCCCCCGCCCCAAATCTCCAGGTATTTTCCAATGGGGAGCTGGCAACCCTAGACTCTTCAGACAGCTTCCCTTTTTAAAAAAAGCAGCCCCTGGAGTTTCTTCAAGCGTCTGTAGGACATGGGGGGGGGGAGAGATCCTTTATTTCCACCTTACGGTAAAGGTAAAGGTTCCCTTGCTCGAAAGCCAGTTGAATCCGACTCTAGGGTTGCGGTGCTCATCTCCGTTACAAAGCCGAAGAGCCAGCGCTGTCCGAAGATGTTTCCGTGGTCATGTGGCCGGCCTTTATTTCTGGGGGGGGGATACGCCAGTGGAACCCCTAACCCGCCCCAGACTCCGACCTCCTCCCACAGATGTTAAAAGATCCAAATCGTGGCTCTCAAAACACACCCACCCCACCCCATCACCTAGTCAGACCACTTGGAAGGGATGCGTTCGAGGCGACCAGACCCGCGTGCGACCCGTCTGATGCCCAAAACTCCCCATCCGTTGGATCCGATCTTATGGGTCCAACCAGCAACCCGCGTCCTCCGGCTGAGAGGGGGGGGGGGCACAGGAAAGTGGGGGGGGGGGGAGAAGAAGGGGGTTTGGACTCCCGGGGAAAGACCCGCGCGAATCCTCCGCCGCAGGTTGTGGGGATGTCGGCTGCCTGCGGGTCGGTCGTGGGAACTTAGCTGGAGCGGTCCGCGAGGGGAGGCGGGGGTCGTGTTGGACGTCAGGGAAAGAACCGGAGGCAAGACCCAGCGGGAGCTCAGGAAGCACACGCGCACCACTTCTTTTGACCTCACAAACAGACACAAATAAGCTTTGGGGTTGGAACGCTCGGAGAGGGTTGGATCCCACGGACCCCGCTCAATGGAAACCCACCACAAAAGGCGCGCGGGCTCCCAGTCCTCACTGAGTTCTTTCTCCCCTCCCCTCATCCGCCCCCCCCCCAAAGACCATTAAGAGACTGGCTCAGGCAGATCTCAGAAGCTAAGCAGGGTCAGCCCTGGTTAGCACTTGGGTGGGAGACCACCAAGGAAGCCCAGGGTCGCTACGCTGAGGCAGGCAATGGCAGAGCACCTCTGTGTGTCTCTTGCCTTGGAAACCCTACATGGATGCCCTAAGAAATTAAGCAGGGTCGGCCCTGGTTAGTACTTGGATGGGAGACCACCAAGGAAGCCCAGGGTCGCTACGCAGAGGCAGGCAAGGACAAACCGCCTCTGAAAGTCTCTTGCCCTGCCTTGGGTGGGCCAGGCTAGTCTGCCTTAATCAGCACTCGGAAGCTAAGCGGGGCCGGCCCTGGTTAGCACTTGGAGGGGGGACCACCAAGGAAGCCCAGGGTCGCTATGCAGAGGCAGGCAACGGAAAACCATCTCTGAGCATCTCTTGCCTTGGAAACCCTAAAGCGATGCCATAAAAAGCTCAGCAGGGCTGGTCCTGGTTCGTACTGGGATGGGAGTACAGACCACCAAGGAAACGTAGAGTTGCTACGCAGAGGCAGGCAACGGCAAACCACCTCTGAAGGCCTCTTGCCTTGGAAACTCCAAGCGGGGAAGGGGGGGGGTCTCGCCAGAAGTTGGCTGCCAGTGCCACTCGACGGCACTTTCCACGCACCACCAAGAAGAAAAGAGGGAGGTGAGAGCAGAGAAAGAGGCGATGGCAATCGAGCTGAAGAGAACCTCCCAAAAGTTTCTAGTACCTACCCCTACCCCGTCCTCTGTCGAGGGATCTCCTCGCCTTCACTAGTCCTAAATCCAGCGGCGCCTCCCCAACAAATTCTGAGTCCAAGTTATATAAATTCTCGCGAGTCAAACCTCACAGTCCAGTCGTCGCGTCGGTATAACTGCATAACTGAGCTTTGGCTGCCCAAAAGCTTATATATACTTGGGGGGGGGGGGGGAGGGGGGTTGGTTGGTCCTTTTTGCTGGACTCGACGACTGCTCCGCGGCACGGCTGCCCACCCTGCAACTATCGACGCAGATCTCTAGCTGGCACTCTGCAGGTGCTCAGAGGCACGCTCCTAGAAACGGGGGAAGGGGCTTCAGAGAGAGAGAAGGAGGGAGGGAGGGAGGTCCCCCCCCTTTGCCCGCCACCAGCCTGAATTATCCGGCATCGCAGCCGTCGGAAAAGCGCGCTAGGAGGCTAACCCGAGGGCGCCCCTTTCCGCCCGGCAGGAGCGCAGCACTCACCCGGCGCAGGGAAGGAGAACTCCGCCCGCACCGTCTAGCTAGCCGCAGTGGGGACCCCAGGGCTCGGGGCTGGCCTCTTATAGGGCCGGGGGCAGGGGCCATGCAAATGAGGCGCCTTGGCCCCGCCCCGCTCTCCCGCCTCCTGGCCCGCTTGCGACGGGACGGGCGACGCCGGGGTCAGTAGCTGGAGCGGCAGCGGCGGAGGAAGCGCCGGGCGGCCGGGGGAACCGCAGAACGCGTGGCGCTGGTGGGTGAGTGCGCTCCCGGGGCTCCCTCGGTTGGAAAAGCATGCGGGGGACCCGCGCGTTGCCCGCAGGCAGGCAGGAAAGAAAGATCTCCAACAGGCAGGCTTGGGAAAGGCAGCGTTATGCGCCCCCCCCCCTTTCCCGGGTAGCAATGTGTTTCTTGGCGGGGCCGGGTTTCGGATCGCGCACTTTAGCGTCTGTTCTGGACTGGCAGGATCTGGTGGCGGTCGAGCGGGCTGTGTGGCTCCAGGCTTGCCGGTGGAGGCGAGGCTCTTGTGGAACTCTCCTTTCCCCAACCAGAAAAACCACCTGCACCTGAAGGAACACAAGCCCAGCTGGGAGAGAGAGTCTCTCATTCTACCCCAGCCCACCCCTTGGTAGCCTATTCGCCCCCCCCCTATTTGCATGAAGATTTATATGCAGAGGATCAAAACAAACAAAAAAAGGAATCCCCCACCTTCACGGTTACGGAGCAAAGTTGGAGTCTCCTGACAGTGACACCTTTGAGACAAAGTTTTATAACTTTGTGTTATAAAGGCTGTGGCTCAGTGGCAGAGCCTGTGCTTGGCATGCAGAAGGTCCCAGGTTCAATCCCCGGCCTCTCCAGTTACAAGGATCAGGTAGGAGGTGATGTGTGCACTCGAAAGCTTATACCCAGAATGAAACTTTTGTCGGTCTTAAAGGTGTCAACGAGACTCAAACTTTGTTCTGCTGCTTCAAACCAACACGGCTACCCACCTGCCTCTATCTTCAGAGATACAGGACTTACGTCATTGCTTCCAAACTCTGCCACTTCATTGGGCAGCTTTTGTGATTAAGACCTTTGAGATCTTGTAATTTGTGCATTTTTGCAACTAAAACTGTGCCGGATTTTTAAAGGTCCCTTCTCTTTTAATAATACTTAACCCTTGTTTGGCTTTTTCAGTGTTTGTGGCACTTTATAGGGAGTATTACATTAAGCCTTGCAACAGTCCTGCAAGGGAGGCCCATATTAGGGTCCCCCAGCCTGGGAACTAAGAGAGAGGGACTAGCTGAAGTTAGTTAGGGTGGGATTTGAACCAGGAGTCTCTTCATCTCTCGCTATACACTTTTACCTGGGAATCAATGGAAGGGCTGTGGCTCAGTGGCAGAGCCTGTGCTTGGCATGCAGAAGGTCCCAGGTTCAATCCCCGGCATCTCCAGTTAAAAGGATCAGGTAGGAGGTGATGTGAAAGACCCTGCCTGAGACCCTGGAGAGCTACTGCCAGTCTGAGTAGACAATACTGACTTTGATGGTCTGATTCAGTATAAGGCAGCTTCATGTGTGCTCAGTAAACCCCACTGAACACAACAGGAGTTATCTCTTTGCAAACACACATAGGATTGCTCTCCATGCTTCTATACTGTGTCGGCATTTTCCCCTTTCCCCTCTTAAGCAGGAAACAAAGGCAGGTTTGAATCCGTGTTGCCGGGCGTCTTTGAGAATGAAGATTTAGCAGAAATAATTTTCAGCTCCGTCCACCCCGACAGTGTAGTAGAGCACTCAGTGATGCTATCATATTCTGGCTAATTTCCAGCTTTTAGTCTGCACAGTAACTCATTTGCTCTCAGGAGTGCTTTGTGCCTTACCTGGCTGTGGTGTTTCGAGTGGTACACCTGTGCCAGACCGGTGTTCCCCATCCCTTCTGCAAATATGTTAAGTGCGCAAAGCAGGTGTACTCTCTTACACATGTGGGGACATGTGCTAGGGAGTTCCGACTTTCTGCGCTCTCCTGGCACATGCCTGCTAATTGTTCAGGAATGCATAAAGGCCCTCTGAGTATTTCCCTGTAGGACAGTGGTTCTCACACTTTTTGGACCAGCTTTAAAGCAACTCTTCATTTTGAGCAGTGTTCCCGCTAAGCCGAGTTAGTGTGAGCTAGCTCACAGTTTTTTAGCCTCTGGCTCATACCTTTTTGCCTTAGCTCAGGAAGGATGGCTCCAGATCAAACTCATTTATGCAGTAGCCAAATCGCTCACTCACAACTTTAATGCCAGGAGCTCACAAAGTAGAATTTTTACTCACAAGATTCCACAGCTTAGAGGGAGCATTGATTTTGAGATCCACTTGCAAACTAACTCTGCACTGCCTTACACATTGTCGTAAGAATGCACCTGTAGCACTTGTCAGTCTAAACTAACCCTGTATAGTGTTACCTGCACCTCTAGATTCGTAATGGTCTGGTGAGTGCAAGAACTGCATGTTTTCATGGTTAGGACATATAAATATATAATGTTACTGAGCTGCAGGCTGCATTTTCCAGCCGTTTGGCACATTATGCTGAAGCAAACCCCAAATTGCCATCACTTCTCCCAGCTCACCATGTTCCTTCTCTGTATGACCCACCTGGGGGAGAATTGTGACCTGCTTCTGAATCCCAGCCCCAGACTGAGTTCCGTGGAATTATTGCGCAGAGCATGAAAAGCTGCCTTATACTGAATCAGACCCTTGGTCCATCAGGGCCAGTATTGTCTACTCTGACTGGCAGCAGCTCTCCAGGGTCTCAGGCTGAGGTCTTTCCCATCACCTGCCACCTGATCCTTTGAGCTAGAGATGCCAGAGACTGAACCCGGGACCTTCTGCGCGCCGAGCAGAGGCTCTGCTACTGAGCCACTGCACATCCCATGTTCCATTTCTGGTGTACATAGAACGCCACAGTTCTAAGCATGTTTTATTCAAAGCAAAGTAAAAGCTGTACAGGATGCATTTGGAGGGGGATTTACATTTTATTTTTGCAGTGAAAAGTAACATTGGGGGAGGGGTTAGTAAAGGTAAAGGTTCCCTTGCTCGAAAGCCAGTCGAGTCCGACTCTAGCGTTGCGGTGCTCATCTCTGTTTCAAAGGTGAAGAGCCAGCGCTGTCCGAAGACGTTTCCGTGGTCATGTGGCTGGCATGACTAAACACCAAGGCGCACGGAACGCTGTTACCTTCCCACCGAAGTGGTACCTTATCTACTTGCAATTTCTTGCTAGGTTGGCAGGAGCTGGAACTAAAGATGAGAGCTCACTCCATCATGCGGCAACTTGGGTCTCAAACTGCTGAACTACTGACCTTCCACAGCCTGCAGTTCAGCGTCTTAACCACTTGAGCCACCGCAGCTCCATTTAAAAGCATAGTACCCTTTCAGGGGCAACAAAAACCCTTTTCACTGTGAAACCACAGTTCTTCCACCTTCTGCTGCAGCACTTAACATAACTATACCAGTTTGCACTTCATGTTGTGTGGCAGTAATTCCAGGCAAAGAGATAGTTGCCACTATAGAGGAAGTAAACATTTTTGCTCCTGTTTTCACGCACCCCCCAAAAGATCACCAAAGCGGTGTTTTTTGCAAGGTTCCATGGAACTGCAGGATTTTGCGGCTTTCAGTTCCCCCGTAGAGATAAGTTCTGGTGAGTTTAGAGGGACTCACTCCCTTGTCAGTATGCTCAGAATTCCAGCCTTGGAGGCTCTCCTTGTGCATCTCTATATATAAATGGAACAAAACATGTACATTCCACAGGTATGTTTGTCAAAGAGCCAGAATTAACTCCTGTCAAAAGTACAGTTGATGGAAAAGTGAAGTTATCAGTTCATAACGTACAGAACAGGCCCAAGTTTCACCAGCTCAAGCTCAGACTTCATCGCACACTCACACACACACACAGATTTGTGCAGCTCCCAACCCCATTCAGTTGGATCCACAAATCAAATGCAGCAACTCGGAAGGAATGTGTTGACTTTGTGCGGGTTTTGTTCCGGCGCTTGGGAAGAGACGCACACACCTCTTTGTGACTCATACCTGGCGATTATTTCAAAATTTATTAATGCAACATTTTATATATAGCTACATATTTCTCCCCCCCCCAAAAAAAAATCTACACGCTTCCTGATTCTTTTGTACACAGGGTGTGTTGCCCATGGCGAAAGCTATGTGCTTTTCAACAAGGCCTGCGTGACCAAAATGGGACCACAAAGTCGGAATTGTGTGGCTTCCATTAGCTTCTAAAACCATATCTTTAGATGTAGGGGTAAGAGAGCTATCCATACATTTCAAGAATATGTCATTTAGATATTTATACCCCAGTGTTCTCCCCGATAGAGACCCAAAGAAGCTTATAATATTATTTCCCCCTTCTCCATTTTAAGACCCAGTTTGGTGTAGTGGTTAAGTGCGCGAACTCTAATCTGGGAGAGCCAGGTTTGATTCCCCACGCCTCTACTTGTACCTGGCTAAATGACCTTTGGCAAGCCATAGTTCTGGCACAGCTGTTCTTGAAAAAGAACAGTTTCTGTCAGAGCTCTCTCACCCCCACCTACCTCACAGGGTGTCTGTTCTGGGGAGGGAAAGGGAAAGGAGTTTGTAAGCCGCTCTGAGACTCCTTTGGGTAGTGAAGGGCGGGGTATAAATCCAATCTCTTCTTCTTCTTCTTATCTTACAATGACAACCCTGTGAGATAGGTTAAGATGAGAGACAGTGACTGGCCCAAGGTCACCCAGCAGGCTTTCACTGCCAAGTGGGAATTTGAACCCGGCTCTTCGAGATCTTAGTCAACACCTCTGTTACCCCACAATGGCCAAAGCAAATGGTTTTGCTGAGAAAGACTGCAAGAAAGAGATCAACGGTGAAGTTCTGAGCAGAGTTATGCTTTCTTAAAACCATTAAAGCACTGTTAACATCAGTGGTAGTGTGCTGGATAACTACAGGAGCCATGCACCATTTTGGAACCTATGGAATTCGTGGCTACCAAATTCTATGCATGTATGAAGTTTAAGACAGCAGTTCTGCTAGATCCGAGGGCCAGAGGTGCAGTCCAGTAGGGTGGACAGCGATGTAAATGAGAAAACATTTTTGATCGGAGAGAAAAACAAGCCAGGCTGGGCCTGTGCCAGGAAGAGGAGACAGAAGGACCAAAACATCCTTGTTGGGTGAAGGTGACAGTATGGCAGGTTGCCATAAAAAAGCAAATAAAGTCATTACTGAAGGGGAGGGAAGGCGACATGGTATAGCCTGATCTTTTCCGATCTCAGAAGCTGAGCAGGGTTAGTCCTTAGAAGGGAGACCACCAAGGAAGGCTCTGCAGAGGAAGGCCATGGCCAACCACCTCTGCTTCTCACTTGCCCTGAAAGCCCCTTGCTGGGAGAAGCTAAGCAGGGTTAGTACTTGGATGGGAGACCACCAGGGAAGGCTCTGCAGAAGAAGGCAAAGGCAAATCACCTCTCCTTCTCTTTTGCCTTGAAAGGCCCTTGCCAGGGTCGGCTCAAATCATCTGAAGCTTGACAGCATTTTACATACACAACCACTGGAGCAGTACAGATAGTGCCTTTGTAAAATAATACACACAGATAGCTCCAGTGTGTTGTAGTAGTTGGAAGGTCAGGTTAGCAATCTGGGAGAGTTGAGTTCGAAACCTTGCTGTGCCACGCAAGTTTACTGGGTGACCTAGGGGCAGTCGCTCTCTCTGCTTTAGGTCCCCACTGGAGAGAAAAGCGGGGTATAAATATCTAAATAAATCAACGAGATGGAGCATAATTATTCTGGAGAGGATAAGAGAAGCCAGGTAGAAATATCGAAGTAAATAAGATAAGGCTTAATTATTCTGGAGAGGATAAGATGATAGCTTGCAGATTACAAGAAGAATTATCATTTTAAGATCTACTAACATAGGGTTGGAGTTAATATCATAGCCTGAGGAAGCATTATAAGAATTGAATGCAATTATCTCCTTGACTGATTTTAGAAATCCCTGTCAGGGGAACCGAGCAAAGGGAGCAGCCGTGTTGTTTTGAAGCAGTAGAGCAAAGTCTGAGTCCAGTTGCACCTTGAAGGCCAACAGAGTTTTATTCAAGGTGTGAGTTTTGGTGTGCAGGCACGCTTCATCAGATACATTGGAATGGAATTACAGATCACAATTGTCTATATAGAGGGTGACCTGTTAAATTAGCACGCAAAACAGTGAAGATTTTTTTTTAACAGATAAAAAGAATGACAAGCTTGGTTTCTGGTTATCTTCTGTTTGGGTTCAACTGAGTGGAAAGATCAACACAGGTAATAAATATGTCAGAACTGGAGGCTGATGTGCCCAAAATGGTGAGAATCCAGTTGTTAGATCCCATCCATCTCCTTTCTAGCATGGCGGCAAACTTTAAAGTATTTTCCTCGTCCCCAGAATAGAGAATTACATCTAAATCTACCATTCCAAACTACAGTACATATTCCAAGCAGACGTTGTCCCATTTACAGACAGATGAGAGGTCAGGGAACTAATATTCCCAAGCATGCTGGGGCCCGATTCCGCTCAGGAGCAGTTACAGGGGAGCAGGAGAACCCTTTGGAATAGCAGTTGCACCAGATCACTCCTGTGCTGTTGCTGGCTTCTTTTCCCACAGACTCAGGTACGGTCATGGTGCCACTTCAGTCTGTGAACCTAACTAGTGACATGCTTTGCCCGAAAGGCTGACCATCTTAACTGACTGTCAGAAATGCAAGAGAAGAAATCTGCAGGGAAAAGAAAGGGACTGTTGGTTGGCAAGCTCAAGCTCTTCTACGTGCACTCAACTAGCACCTCTTTAATTTCACATACGTGCATTAGAATTTGGAGGGAGATGGCATTTCTAGACTTCTGGGAATGGTGGGATGAAATCAGTGCTTCCCAGGTAACTTCTCAGAACACTCACGAGGGATTTTGACGATTCATTTGGGTTCTCCGTCTTGGGAATACACTCTCACGATAGGGTTTCGATGGGCAGCTGCTCAGCTGTGGGAAATGTTTAGTCTTTGCATTTTCAGGAAAGGCTGCTTCACTTTGAAGGTCTTGTCTGCCACTGGCATTCTTAGGCATTTGCTAGGCAGCCCATCTGAATCTTGTGTTTGGGAAAGACTAAAAAATCCTTTTTGGAGTGGCTTTGTGGCCTCAGGGGGTCTTCGTTGCAGGGAAGATATATCTGCAGGGCTATTTTTGGGCAGGAACGCACAGGAACGGAGTTCCGGCTGGCTCCGTGGGTGTGGCTGGATGACCACACTTCTGGTAACATGGGGGTGCGGCTTAATATGCTAATGAGTGGTGCAGTCAGGGGTGTAGCCTAATATGCGAATGAGTTTCTGCTTCTGGGTGTGGCCTGTTATGCTAATGAATTCCTACTGGGCTTTCTCTACAAAAACAGCCCTGTAAATATCTGTATGTGTCTTCAGGCCCATAGCACTGGTGGGGCTTTGGGGGGCTCTGTCCCTTTTCTTAAAGGCACAGCCCCACAAAATTTTTTCCTGTAAATGCTTTCCCCCAATCGTTTTAGAACATTTTTTAAAAGGTGTGCACTCCTTTAAGCAGAGTGGGCTACTGTAGTTGGCTAATACCTGCACTGAGCAAAGGGGTTGGAGCAAGTGACCTCTAGGATCCCTTCTGTGTCGAGAAACTGGTCTTTTTAAAGAGAGTTTTCCTGCCTCGGTGTTAGCTTTCTTGACTATAGAAGTCATCACCCCCTCCTGCCAGCTTGTTAACAGAATCGGCTAGAAGAAGTGATTAACTTGCAGCAGCTGCAAACTGTCATCTAAACTGGTTGACAGCTTGCAATTTAGAGATCTATCCTGGTAACAGCTTTCTGTTGGCTAAATGGCTTTTCTTTATGCACTGAGAATTTCAGCTCCACCAGAGAAAAATTTGCCCCACAAATCACAAAATCCTGGCTGCATGCCTGCATGCCTTCCATGAAATATCCTTGCCTGCTTCCTAGTCGTTTTGAGCTTGCATCTGGCAGGGAAACAGTCACTCAGGTGACCAAATTGGGTTATGAACTGCAGCATCCCCTACCCAGTCCGGTGTCAGAAGAAAACCGGTCTGCATTTCCTGCACGCAGAGCAGCCGTGCCACAAATATGGGGGGAAACCCAGCTTTTCATCTACCTTTTTCCTGTCCAGAGAGAAAGTGAAAAAACCTGTTTCCCTTCTTTTATATTCCCCTCTACTCTGCACTTCACACTGATCAGTTGTGTCATGGCCCATTCCATTCCCTGCCCCGTTCCTGCAGATAACCTGAGTTCTGGGAATCCCACTCAGCGATCCAGTTACGTCACAGCAAGGTAGCGAAGGACTGATTCACAAGAGCGTTGCATACGTAGGAAGGTCCCTCCATGGTGGCTGCGTGGGGAGAGCGGGATTTTAACACACTGATCTTGTGAATGTGTTGGTGGGCCATGTGAATGCAGTCTCCTGGCAGACAGCTGTGCAGCACCTCAACAGATCACGGTGACAAGTGTTCCCTCTAAGCTGAGTTAGTGTGAGCTAGGTCACAGTTTTTTAGCCTCCGGCTCACACATTTTTTTTTGTCTTAGCTCACGAAGGATGGCTCCAGAGCAAACTAATTTACGCAGTGGCTAAATCGCTTGCTCAGAACTTTAATACCGGTAGCTCACAAAGTAGAATTTTTTCTCACAAGACTCCACAGCTTACAGGGAGCATTGACGGTGACCTCTGCTCACACAAAACCAGTTCAGAATCATGTTCTTTCTTTTTTTTTTGAAGGGTGGGAATGCAGTTTAAAAAAAAAAAGTTTGCAAACAACAGAACTGGAGAAGAGCAATGTTTGTCTGCTGCATTCTTGGTGGGGAATGAAAAGGGTTTTGTCTGAGCTGCCACTCACAAAGCATAGAAGGAGGAAGAAAAAGAACTTGGAATTGAGACCGGGAAAAAGGAAAGAGCCTCCGTTGTTACCACAACCAGGAAGGGGAAGAGAATAACCATCTTCTGGTGTTTCCCAAGGCTGTTTCCTGCGTCCCCTCAAATATTTTCCCCATCTGATTCATTGTTTGGATCTCTAACAACGTTTCCAGGCTGGTGACCTTCAGCACTACTGACCTTCTTGGGTAAACAAGGGTCAGGTCACAAATGATGCTGACGGATCTATCTTCCTTGAGCTTTTCTATCCCATCGTCTCTCTTAGGAGCTCATGGTGTTGTTTGGGGTTTAAAGGAGTAAAGATGGGTTCTACAGAACTCATTTCCCCCTGTTAGAATGACAATAAGAAAGCAGGGAGCCCAGTTTCAATTAGTGAAACTGAGCAGAGGTTGAAGAGTTAAATCCCCCCTCCCTTCCCTGCACAGCCCAGAGGCAAATTGAGGCTGCAGCTTGTGTGTTCTTCATCTGGTCTGTCTGAGCCCTTAAGACTCCAGATTGCTTTTTCTATTGTTTCCTTCCAAACGGTTTCTCCTTTCTTAAAACAGATCTCCTCCCCACCTTCATTCTCCTCCTTCACTCTCATTTTCACTTCTAGTAGATAAGTATATGGTTGCGGTCTGGTTCCTATAAATTGTGAGTGTCACTACAGGTTGGCCTCAGCTGAAACAGGATGAGAGTGGGGAACTTGAAAAAAACACACATCACATGCTAATAGTCCTTAATAGCACTGCAGATGTTTCTTCAACTGAACATCGCTTTCTCTCTCTTCTTGTTCAAGGACACCTCAGGGCTTGAATGGGGTGATACCACTGTTTCCTCTAAGCTGTGCACATGAGCGGCCGCTCATTAACCCAGGAAGCCCCGCTTATTTATTTATCTATTATTAATTCAATTTTTATCCCGCCCTCCCCACTGCAGGCCGGCTCAGGGCGGCTTACATTAAGGATTAAAAAT